TCTTCAAGGAGTCTATGACCCCCCACTATGTTAAGTATAACATTTCTTAAAAAGTACTGCCCTTCCTCCCAATGTGGCAGGCAAAACCCTCCAGACAATGTCCTATAATCTTTGTATATTCCAGAAACCTGGAAAGAAATGAAGGCTTTAGGTTCACTGCAAAAGAAATGGGAGGGCATTGAGGTGCTGTGCCTCTGAGCGTCAGAATGTGTTTATGCATTTGTGCTAAGATGGAGGCAGGATCTGAAAAGATCCTGCATTTGTTGGAAAGGCCCTGCCAGGACAGCTGATAACAAGTACTGGTCAGCAGAGTGATGCTGTGAACTTGTTCCTACTCTGGAGTATTTTTCTGCAATTAGCAGACTTAGATTTCTGGATCGGGGGTCCCCAGATCCCTTTCTCCTTTCTGCCTTAAGATGTGGCCCCAGAATTGCTCAGAGTCAACAGCAGGGATGTTGGGAATGGGCCTCACTCCTGGGCCTGGACTAAGCTAATATCTCAGCTCTCTTGGACTCAGCAAGACCATGTGGTAGGGCCCAGAATTTCTACCCTTTCTCCCAGGCAACTTCCTTAGCTGAAGTTGCTAACATAGCTGAACACTGGGGCCAGCGAGGAAACATGACTTGCTCATACTGCACCTGCTCCCCCCCTCCCCCGTCCCCTGTGCCGTCAGCAATTTCCATTAGCTATCCAACTACCCATGTCTGGATGGAAACTTGCTTCCCTCCCCTGGGTATCTGCTGTTGCCTTCCCTTTGGTTCCCCAGTATCCACTTTGCCCCTCCCCAATCTGTTCTCAACAAGAGAATCTTTCTGAAACTCAAATCTGATCAGATCATGATCCCCTACCTAAAAACACCCACTGGTTTTCCACATGACCTGAAGCCCTGCTGTCTGGCACTTGCTTCTCCCTTCTGAGCTTCCCCAAGTCATGTGCTAGAGCCAACTCCTACCAGCTCATAAGAAACAGTGGTTAAATATCAAGGAATTTGTGAGTAGCTGGAAATCAACTATGGTGGGAATATTTAACCCTGGAGAAATCAACAAATGCTAAAAATCAGATTTTTTTTTCTGGAGGGTGGATTAGCCAGTCCGCTGCTGCTTCATGCTCACGGTGCAGGTCCATTGCAGGGCCTTTGCACGTGCTATTGCTCTGCCTGGAACACTCTCCTCTTTCTTTGTGGGCTAACTCTGCTCTTTGACACCTCAGCTCAATTGCTGCTTCCTCTGGGAAGCCTCCCTTGATATCTATGAATGAGATAAATCTCTCCCATCAGCCTTTTCTTCTTAGCTTGCATCACATTAGTAGTTTTGCATGTGTGATGAGTGATTATTATCTGTCTTCTGCATGGACGTGGAAACTCTCCATGGCAAAATAGACCATGCCTATTTTTGCTCACTATCTTTGTTCTATTATCACTTGGCACAGTGCCTGGTAGTAGAAACTCACATCTGCTGAATGAATCCATGAATGAATGGATTAGTAAAATATGCACCAGAGAAGGAGCCCTCAGCTTTGGCCATGGTAGCAAAGATACTTTTGCTCGTGTGTTCACGTTTTACTCTGCAGTTCCCAGGCTCCCTTGCTGTTATGTTTGTTCTGTTACCAAAGGCTTGCTCTTTTCCTCTGCTGGAGATGAAGGAGTAGCCCAGATTCCTGAGTCACTGATTGGAGAAGAGCTGCCCAGATGAGTCACCTCACCGTCCTTGAACTGAGATAGGAGGCAGACATACATTCATTGAATTAAGCCCTGAGGTTTTGAGTTTATTTGCTACAGCAGAACCTAATCTATCCTGATTTAAAACACCTTCTTAAACTGTTATTAACTACTTCTGCTTTTGAGGCCAGCCACCAGACCTCTGAGCCTCAGTTTCTTTCTTCATAAAAATAAAAGGTCTTAGGCTTAGTCTTAGGCTACTACTCCTAATAGGGTCTGGGGTGGGCACTAAAAGATTCCACAAGCTGATCTTTGTAATCCTTCCCATGTTAAATTCTGTTGTTCTGCTTATACTTGACTATTTTCCTTCCTTCTGCTTAGCATTATAAGCAGACGTGATAGATGTTTGCTAAATAAGCTTCTATATTTGAAATCCTTTATCCCAGATAAAAGCATTTTAATAACTTAGAAGTTCAGAGTGATTACTCAGAATATTTAAACATCTAACAGGTACCGGGTTGATGAAAATAATAATGTGACATGTTATCAAGGGGGTGGGGAACCTTCAGAGACCTATCCCTCAGCCTTACAGATGCTGAGCACCTTGCTCTATCTGCCCTTGGCATCTGGCAGCCTCGGCATTTCCAATTACTAGCAGATCTCATCTTCAGACTGTCTCTGCTGTTCCACTCTGCTGACTCTGTCAACTGCCTTTCTCAGTAGACAGAGTCTCATTTTTCAAAGGAATCCAGTGATGCCTTTTCTTAGAGAGCTCTCATTAAAGGCACTGCCTGCATGTCAGTAACCAAGAAGCAAACATTACACTTTTGATGAGATGTATGAGGGTGACTAGTTGGGCAGCAAAAGTAGCCCAGAGCCTTGATGGCTCAACTGGGTTTCAAAACTCCTGGGGTCTATTCCCAGGTCTGCCATAGGTCCATTGTGTGTAAGAGGCAAAAGACAGACTCTTCTTCTTGGGCTGGAGTCCCTCTTCCTATTATAAATAAAGGCCACTGCAGCTTCTGTCATCCCAGTAACCATAGTAACAGGGGACCACATGACAGGTGCTGATCCCCATTAGACATTTTCTGATATGAAGTGTTTTTATCTTTCCTCTCCACCCCCACCCCAGACCCTATTAGGAGTAGTAGCCTCGAGGATCTCCCAGGGGAACAGCTCAGGCATGAGAGACCTGGAGCTGATAGATTAATTAAACCTCTCATTTCCCCAGAACGTTTTGCATTGCCAGACCCAGAAGCTAAGAAAACATCCCAGAAAATCTCTATCCTAAGAGACTGTTAAGTCTAACACTAGGGCTGAGGTGCTTCTCTTCCACAGTTGGCAGCAACTGGGGCTCACTAGGAAAATGTCCTTGGCATATAGCAGGCACACAATAAATACTTGTTACAGATTCAAGTTAATAAAATGAAACTCACCTCACCAATGAGATTCCGTCTAAACCACTGGAAATCCTTAAGGAGATGATCGTGTGAGGCATTCAACAGTTATTGAGTGCCTGCTGTACGTATCCATGGGTCATAGCATGGAGTCTTTAAAGATGTCAGCTTGCTGAAGGAATCCCAAGTCCCTGGGAGTGGCTGGAACTTAAGGACATGCTGAGAAGTGTGTGGAGAGGAGTGTAAAGAGGAGTGTGAAGGGGTTAGCAGGAATTACATTCACCAAGGGTTTGGGATCTAAGTTGAGTCTCTTGGGTTTATTCCCCAGAGAATGTTTGAAAGCTGTTCAAACATATAAGTGATAGGATCAGCATTGCATCTCAGAAACCTCCTTTTTGATGCCCTGGAGCAAAAGAATAGAGAGAGACTACTACTGTGACCAAAGAAATGAGGTTCCCCAAAACTTCTGAACAGAGGCCTTAAGAAAACTGACAGCTCCTGCTTCCTTCCTCTTAGAACCTGGTTACCATACTATGAGCACTACGGAGAAACCAAATGGAGAAGAACAAAAAGGCATTCCTTGACAGCCCAACTGCAATCCCAGTTGGTGCAGCCAGCACCAACTACTCCCCACCTGAGCATGCCATCTTAGATGTTCCAGCCAAGCCAAACCCCAGATGACTGTAGTCCCAAGAGATATTAAGCAGGAAAACCACCCAGCTGAGCCTAGCCAACTCACAAGATCATAATAAGTAATAAAGTAATTGGTCTAAGCCACTAAATCATGGATATGTTTATATATAGGCGTAGATAATTTAAAAAGTGGGAGGAACCAAGTGATGGTCACAGCAGCTCAGCAGAAAAGATCTGGCTGGAGATTTGGGAGTCACCAGCTTGAAGGAAATTTGAAAGCCCTGTTGTGGATGAGAACACCTGCACCCTTCTCACACACAGGCCTAGCATGGGTAGAGCACTGCCAACTCACAGCAAGGGTTTGCAGAATTGAATTAAGCACCCCATATAATACTGAAAAACACTGAGAAGTCCACTGTTTTCTGCATCTGAGATTTGAATCCCCCTCCTAGCATCCTTTTATCCTCTCTCTCTGGCAACCTATTGGGTACTTTAGCTGCTCCATTTGATACTCTGTATCTCCCTAAGTGTGGACTGGAAATCTACAGACAGAAGTTTGAGTTCAGGAGGATGATTTGTCTAGCAGTGATTTTTCTAGCGGTCCATGTCCTTTCTGAGGCTCAGCTTCCTTATCTACATAAAAATGAGAATACTGTGGATCAAATTAAGTACTAAAAGTGAACTACCAGCCGCACTAAAGGGGATGCAGCTGTAAGCAGAGTCATTGTAGTCCTCTTCAAGGGCTACTGGCAGAGTCAGACACCACATCAGTTCTGTCCACCTGCTGCCTGGCCTCTCCACTGTAGGAACATCTGTCAGGTCCGAGAGATGAGAAAACCTCAGTTTTGTGTGTGTGTTGTTTGAAAAGCTCGTAGAGGACCTGATTTTACAGCCTCCTTGTTCAGCTCCTGGGGGAGAAAGAGAGTGAGCAAAGGGTTACTAGTCTGGTAAAGTGACAGCTGTACCCTAATAAAGTCTCAGGCCAGGGTTCCAGCCCTGGTTCGACCGCTAACAGTGTGACCTGGCGAGCTGCTGCCCTTCTTGGGCCCTCTGTCCCTGTTTACACACGAAGCATTAAGAATGGCCTGAAGCAACCCTAAGGTTCCTTCCACCTGACAGGCTCTGGCAGCTGCTGGGGTGGGGGTCTGGTCACGTGCTGGGGGTGGGGGGGCCGCAGGCTGACGCGGAGGGCCGGCCTCCTCCTCCTCTGACGTCCTCGCCGCGGTCCTAGCTTCCTCACTCCCTCCCCGCCCCCCTGGCGGGATAGCTGCTGGCTCGCTGGGATCCCGAGAGCTGCTGGGCGGCAGGCGGCGGGCCGGGTCCCGGCTGGGTGCGCGGCGGCCGGCACCATGGTGCTATCGGTGCCCGTGATCGCGCTGGGCGCCACGCTGGGCACGGCCACCAGCATCCTTGCGCTGTGCGGGGTCACCTGCCTGTGCCGGCACATGCACCCCAAGAAGGGAGTGCTGCCGCGGGACCTGGACCCCGACCCCGAGAAGGCGAAGCCGGGCGTGCTCCGGTCAGCCCAACAGGTGAGCGGGGGCAGTGCCCGGACCCTCCCGAGGAGAAACGGGGCGCCCGGACCGCGCGGAGGGGGAATGGGGCGGAGGGCTGTCGCGGTTGTGCTCCGCGACAGAGCTGGCAGAGAGAGGGGACGAGGGACATGCTCTAGGACCTATCCAGGAATAGGAAAGGCCTGGGGGATGGGAGAAGGACGGGAGGGATAATTGGGTGGGGGGCTGGAGGTTACCGAGAGAAGATGGGGGGCAGCAGCCAGTGTTAAGGGGAGGGACGGGGAAGGGGACTTGAATAGGAATTGGGGCTGGGGGTGTGTGGGGGTCTGAGAGAGGGCTGGGGGGCTGGTTGGGAGGAGTGAAAGGAAAGGGAGGCTGGGAGGGGAAGGGCCCTCAGAGAGGAATGTGGGAGGGGGACAGGAAAGGTCGGGGGCGACTTTGAGAGGAATTCTGCAGAATGAGAAGCTTGCAGAATTGGAGGGGAAGAGGAATGGGGCTGAGAGAGGTAAGGCGGGTGACTGTGGGGCTACAGGAGGGCAAACACTGACTGAGCTGAGGCGTAACTCCCAGAATACCAGAGGGGAGGTGGCTGCTGTTCCCCTAGGTCCTAGGTCCTAGGAGCTGGGGAGCCTGGGGGCAGCTGGGCAGGGCGGCCTGGCTCTGAAAAGGCAGCAGGAGCCCCCCCCCCCCCAGCAGCTCTCAACTCCAGCCAGCCAGTCAGAGGGCTGGCTGGGGGCTCCCCCAGATGTCTCTGAAGATGTCCCTGTGACAGGAAGGCTTTTATCCCACTCTTTTGCTTGTCCCCAGAGCCCCTCTGGGCAAGAAATGGGCTGTGTTCCCTCTGTACAGTGCAGCAGAAGGGGTTTGGAAGGATTTCCCTACATAAGCTGTGACCTCCAGGATGCATTTCCAAGGTAGATAGTGCAGAATATTCTCTGGAGAAATGAGAGAAAAAGAGTCTTGATAGAGTGGTTTGCAGAAGGCTGGCCCTGGGGCAGGGAGATGGCTTAGGTGACCTCCTAAGGTCCTCTAGATGCCTTATGGATCTCATAGTTCCAGGAGTGGCCCTGAGATGCTGTGATTCCACCTTCCTTTTTGCAATCAATAATTCAAAAGCTCAGAGGACCCAGCTGTGTGGGGCCATGTCAGTCACTGTACAGTGAGAGTGGAAAGGAAATGGCTGCTGTCCTTGAGGCACTTACAATCCAAGCACAGTGACATTGACACTGGCTGAATGGGAGCCAGCTGCCCAGCAGGATGTGGGACTTGGAATGATCTGGAAATGGGAGTAGTGGGCTTGCCATTGTCAGAGGGGTTTGGTGGGCCCTTCTCTGGCAGTCGTGACTGGCTGCCTCTCAACCTTCTGTTCCACGCAGCACACCTGAGGGACAGCCACTCTTCTGCCTTCCAGTGGTGGCCCTCCAGGCACTGTCCTTTCTCCCCACTCCTCAAGAGAGCCACTGGGAAGACAGTTAGTGTAAATGACCTCTAAGATCTCTTCCAACTCTCTGCCTTATTGACAACCAGTTGCACACACAATGGCTGAAAATCTGTTTAGGACAAACCAGATTGTATCTTGTGCCTGCTTAAAATCCTCCACAACTTCTCATTAGAATAGGTCATGGCAAAGCGTTCGTTACATGGCACATATGCAGTGCCAGGCGCTGTTCTAAGTGTTTTACCTTTACAATGCATTGAACAACCCAACAGAGGAGCTGTGTGATGATCGCGACTTAAAGATGAAGAAACTGAGACTCAGAGAAGGTGAGTGACTTGCCCAAGGCCACACAGCTAGAGAAGTTGAAGGGCTGGAGTCTGTGTTCTAGTCCAGCTGGTCTGACTCTCAAGCCTGTGGTATTAACCAGTGTGACCCGCACTCATGCCAGTTTCCTCTTTCTTGGCAGTCTCGGCCCCCTTACAATTATGATCATTCTCATAAGACACCAAGCCCTTTCCTGCCACTTCTGTTTTGCTCTGACTTTCCATATAGATGGCTCCTTCTCATCCTCAGGTCTCTTTTTGTCAGGTCTCGTTCCCCTTCAATGTTACTGACTTTGAGACAAAGTACCTCCCCCCCCAATATCCTCTCCCAAATTGTTCTTTCTGAATTCTTTTATAGCCCCTCATCCAGTTGGATGTGATCTTTCATATTCACTTACTTGTGTGATATTTATTCCCAGTATCTACTTAGCACCTGAAAAATAGTAGGTCCCCAATAAGAAATTGTTGACACATACAGGCATCCAGCCTGCTGGGATTATCACCTGAGTTATTCTTCAGATGTGGGTGCATGGGCCATGTCTTTGCAGTCCGGTGTGAGTTCATTAGAGATGTGATAAATATTTGTTAATACATGATTCCTGCCCATCCACATTCCCTGACCTGGTTCCCTCAGTGACAAGGATTTGGGCAGCCTGGGGCTGAATCTATAGGTGTGAATGTGGTGAAGCTGAAACCTCATGTGGCGTGGTTGCCATTGTGCGTAGACTCATTCAGCTGCTGACCCAGATAAAGTAAATAGAGAAAGACAATCAATTGATTTCAAACAAAGCAAAGGAGGTGGTGTTAGGGCCTGCAGGTTGACAGCAGGATGATGTCTCTTGCACATGTTGATAAGAACAGCAAGAGTCAGAGAAGGCTCTGGAAAGATCTTGTGGGGCTGGAGAGTGGGGTTCTGGATTTCTGTAATCCCCACAGAGGTTTCTGAGGCTTACTGTGTCTTACTGGGAACTAGGATGCTTGTGGGATACAAAGTTACTGTCCCCATCTCTGTAACTCACTGGCTGTGGTTGCCGGAAAGATTCCATGCCTGGGAATCTGATTTCTGGCCCTGAATGGCTGAAGTTTCTAGTGATTCTGAAAAGAACTTTGAAATATCCCTAGGGATTCTTAAACAGGATCCACGGACACCTCCTGCCAAGGGGTCTGTAGATAAATTTAAGAGGTTCCTGGTCTAGAAGAGGAAAAAATGACATATTTAGTTTTGCCTACCTCTGACTGAAATAGAATTTCTTTTAAGTAGGATTATAGACAACTAACTACAGTAGTATTATTAATACCTGTAACTTCGTCCCCAAGGGAAATCACAAATAGTTTCCTAGCACACTGCCACTGTTGCAAATACTTTGCGATAGCATTTGGGCTTATCTCACATTCTAAATTGTGGTACTTATTAAATCTCCCGCTAGATTCTGTTACTTAATGAATTAATAAAGAAGCACTCATATAGATATTTCGCAAACTGATCTTATTAGCTAGTCCTCTGTAGCCCTGTGGCTTTCATTTTCTGCTTTTCCCAGCATTCAGAGGAAGCGTCCATAGGCTTCCCTAGACAGCTAAAAGGATCCTCAGAACAAAAAAGGTCAAGAACCCCTGCGAAGTGCAGCCGTGGTGGGTAGCAGCCCTCCGTCTCTCCTTGCCTCTCATGCATCCAGCCAGCCTCAGTTCACAGCTCTTTGCTTTTTCAAAATACACACTCTGGACCCTTTATCCTGTCTTCTTACACAATCCCTCATCCTTACTCCCCTGCAGTCCTTTGCTAGGAATTCATTCTTACTATGTTGCCATCTCAAGATCTGGCAGTGTCGCTCACCTGGGACCACCCTGACATCAGCCAGCTCTGGAAGTGGGGTTATTATGAAGTGACCTGGCGGTTTGAGCTAGGAGACAGCAGGAAGTAGAGCGAGGACAATCGCCTCCCCGTCACTGTTCCTGCTGAATCTATTAGTGAGACCCCTGGGCTTCTTCCTCTGAATTTCCTCTTCACGCTTGTCTGCACAGGCTGCCACTTCAGGGTCCTTTCCAAGGAAGAACCCCTCTTGCCTAATCTAAAGAACTGTGGGATGAACAGAATGGAGAGAACCGTCCTTTCCCCACCGCTCAGTGCCCTGTGCACCTGCCGCTTAGCGGTGCCTGGGGTCTGTTTTCAGAGAGCTCTCATTGTAGTGTCCTAGTTTCTCCCTCATCTGGTCCTCTTGAGTGAATCTTCCCAAATACTTTGCGGGGGAGCGCCAGGGTAAATCTGGGGGTGTCTCCTTGAAGCTAACAGGTTTACAGATAGTCAGAGGCTTTATTGAAATTGCTTGGCCCTCAGCAGGGATCTCCACACCTCTTCCAGCCATATCCCCTACTGCCTCCCCCACTGCCACATGCTACCAAATTATAAAATTCTACCCTACTTCCAACAGAGCTGGGGACACCAAAGTGGCTTTCGATGAAATCATGGTAGATAGATCCCAGATTTTTATAAAATAATATAAACAAGTGAATTTGTATCAAACTATGTGAATATATAATCTCTTCTCCCCAAAGTCAGAGAATGTGTCTTTTGTTTCTTTGTAACTCTGGCAATGTCTGATGTGACAGCCCTTCAATGTATGTTCTGAATTAAATTGTTACATTGCAATCTGACATTGAGTAAGAGGGAAGAGGAAAAGGAAGGCATACAGTTAAGGCTCTATTTACACACAAGAGTTGAAACCAGGCACTGTTTATTTATGGTGTTTCCCCGGGGGCAGTTAATGACTGGGGCAGGGTAGGGGGAGCCTCTAGTGGGTGTTCATGCTCTGCCTCTTGCCGGGGGTGCTGGCTACGAGGGTGTGCTCACTTTATGAAAGTCCATCCAGTTCTACATTTATGACTTGTGTACCTTTCTGTAGGTGGTTATAGATCAGTAAAGTTTTTATTAAAAATTGTTGCCAGGCACCGTGGCTCATGCCTGTAATCCTCGTATTATGGGAGCCTGAGATGGGAGGATTGCTTGAGGTTATGAGTTCAAGATCATCCTGAGAAGCATGGTGAGGCCACCATAGGTACAAAAAATTAGAAAAACTAGCTGGGTACGGTGGCACACACCTGCAGTCCCAGCTACTCAGAAGACTGAGGCAGGAAGATCACTTGAGCCCAGAGTCTGAGGCTGCAGTGAGCTATCATGACACCACTGCCGTTTCGCTGGGATGACAGAGCAAGACCCTGACTCCAGAAAACAAAAAATTTCATATTATGACATAATGTTTGTG